GAATAATTAACCGTACAGCTCTGTAATGGGTAGTTAAACTAGGTGAGGTAATGGTTAATAAGGTGAGGCAGGAGCATGTAGTAGGGGAAAAAACACAACCAAAAAAATCACTTCAACAAACTGAAACTTTCAATAAATCACTTAACCTCCAAAATCTGTAACTTGAAAGAATGAACTAAGCAAACTACATTCATTGTATTCAACATTAACATTCTGTTTCTGAGTCTAAAGACCAGTCAGTCGAGAAATTTTCTAGGTTTGAGACTGAAGCATCTTTAGATGGCAGAATGAGGATGACAGTTTCAATCTGATGAATTTTCCTTATTTGCAGCTTGAATGTCTGGTAATGTCAGGGTGTTCTGGTGAACTCTCTGAGTGGCCTGCACAGATAGGCATGGAGATGGAACATATATGATCTGTTGTGGTGATGTCTCTGAAGTTGTCCCCCTGTAGCTAGAGTGAGTGGGGAAGGCCAGTTTTTGTTTTCAATGATTCCAAGTCAGAAGGGTGGGAGAAAATTGGAAATGTTTGGATAGTTGTAGCCAGATATTAAAGGAAACTAGAAGAATTCAGGATCCAGTCCAGTTTGCAGGTAGATTAAAAAAACCTCAAAGACAATAAACAGGACTATAATCTGATAATGGGTACACAAGTTTTCTATTGAAATACAATTTTTCTCTCTATAATCACTACATTTTCACCAAAGATATTCACAGTAACACTAATTTGTTTGTAAAACAAGGCTAGTCTCACTAAATTTGACCTAGTTTTTTAAATACATATAGCAAAAACAGTAATTTTATGCACATTTTGAGATAGTTTACTTAAAGTTTTCCTAATATCCAAGGGCCTTTATTGGCTTCATAAAGTCAACTTTAGTTTCTTAAATTTTCTGGTAACAGGAAACTCAGATTAGATTTTAATAATCTGTTTAGGCTAAGAAGCAAGAGTGTCCAATAAGATTCAAAGTGAGGCCCTGGTCAGTTTGGCTCAGCAGTTGAGCATCAGCCTGCGGACCAGAGAGTCCCGGGTTCGGTTCCCACTAGGGGCACGTACCACCAAAAAAAAAAAAAAAATTCAAAGTGAGTACCCATGCCCAGCTGGAGTGGCTCGTGGATTGAGTATTGTCTCCTGCACTGAGCGGTCCAGGTTGGATTCCTGTCAGGGCACATTCCCGGATTGCAGGGTCAAACCCCAGTAGGGGCCATGCAGCCAGAAGCCAATTGATGTTTCTCTCTCATATGGATGTTTCTGTCTCTCTCCCCTACTTTCTCTCAAAAAAAAAAAAAAAAATCAACAAAAATATATTTTTTTAAGTGAGAATGTAGTTTAAAGATAAAATTATTAAGAATTTCAAGACTGCAGAGCATTAAAGCAAGTGTGAAGCCCTTGTGAACACATGGCCCAAAGCACAAAGTAAGTATATCATGGCAATAAGGCAGCAAAAGGCAGGGATGGACATACATATTACATGTTTCTCATATACTCATGTGCATGCTCCACTGCCTCATCAGACTTCGCTTACAAGTCACAAGTTCAATGATAAATTATTAAGCATTTCAAGATGGCAACAGCAGAGCATTCAAGCAACTGCAGGGGCTTTTTGAGAAGGCCACATGCCCATGAATCCAGCCCTGCTCTCACCTTCCACTTCATACCCTTTGACCTCAAGTAATTAAAAAACATCTCTGCTCCTTCCTTCTTGATTCCTCTACTCGATGAACCACACTGCCCAGGTGTGAGTAAACTGAGGATTAATGGAGGAAATCTGGTGGATGACACCTGGAGAACAAGTTTTTGTTGGCTAACCAGCGGTTCTCAACCTTTCACAGAAGTTGCCTAAAACATAACAGTCGCAAAATTACAATTATGAAGTAGCAATGAAAATAACTTTATAGTTGGGGGTCACTGCAACATGAGGAACTGTATTAAAGGGTCGCAGCATTAGAAAAGTTGAGAACCACTGTAATCTCTTCCACTTAAACCAGGAAGGCCTGAGGTGAGGCTTAGACTAGGGTGAGGGTGTAAATGTTAGTTACCTCTTTTTAAATTTATTTTAAGTATACTTGGTATACAATCTTATATTTGTTATATTAGTTTCAGGTGTACGATATAGTGATTCAACATTTTTATACCTTACAATGAGATTACCCCACTAATTAAATGTTAGTTATCTTTAAAAAAAAAACAACTTTATAGCCCTGAATGGTTTGGATCAGCAGAGCATCAACCCGTGGACCAAAGAGTCGCGGGTTCGATTCAGATCTAGGACATGTACCTGGGTGGCAGTTCAGTCCCTAGCCTTGGTTGGGGTCGTGTGGGAGGCAGCCTATCACTGTGCCTCTCTCACACTGATGTTTCTCTCTCTCTTTCTCCCTTCTTCCCTCCCACTCTGTCTGAAAATAAACGGAAAAGTATCCTAGGGTGAGGATTTAAAAAAAAATTATAATAAATTGAATGTCTAAAGTTAAAGCACTCATTTAGATTTCATTTAGCTATTGCTTTACTGTCCCAGTGAATATTTACCACTTCCTTCAAATTACTAAACAAATGCTAAAGATTTAACTATGAACAGGTATATATAGTTCCTACCCTTATGCAACTTGAATAAACAGGCAATGAATAACAAGTCAGTGCTACAAGGACTACCAAGGGGAATATGCATGGCACTAAGGAAGCACAAAGTAAGGTACTAGTAGAACTCTGGGGACAGGGAGAGATAAGGCTTCTGGAAGAATTTACATCTAAATGACACCTGCAGCATGCATAAGAGTAAGTGGGGCTCGAGGGAGGGAGCACTCTTCTTGACAAACAGAACAGCAAGGGCAAGAGCAGCAAGAAGAAGGACAAGGAAATGAAAGAAAATCCAGAAGAGGTTCCCAGGAACCAGGTGGCTCTTTAAGGACCAAACACCAAGAAGTGCTTAGATGCTATTGGCAGCCAAAATTTAAGAGTTTTGTAGTCAATCATATTTGCTTTGCCAAAATGTGTGTGTGGAAAAGAGATTAACCGAAGAATTTATATGCATATATGCATAACCCATGGACACAGACAATAGTGTGGTGAACACCTGGGGTGGGGCAGGAACCAGGAGGAGGGGAGCAATGGGAGACATCTGTAATACTCTCGATAAATAAATAAATAAAATGAAAATATTTTTTAAATGTCACTATGAAGAACACAATGGAGTGGAGTCAATGGTCAGAGTAGGTGCTCATGCAGCTCATGGAAAGAGATTAGGTAGTAGGCTGGATTAGGGGATGAAAAATAGTGAGGTCTGGAGGTGAGAAATACTTAGAAAGTAGAACTGGCCGGACTGGGTGACTAAGGAAGAAGAATCAATGAAAAAGATTTCCCAGCCCAATTGGTGTGGCCCAGAGGTTGAGCGTAGACCCGTGCACCAGGTGGACTGGTTCCATTCCGGGTCAGGGCACGTGCCCAGGTTGTGGGCTCCATCCCCAGTGGGGGACATGCAGCAGAACGCCAATGGATGTTCTCTCTTATCCATGTTTCTCTCTCTCTCCCTCCTCTTCCTCTCCCCCTAAATTCAATAAAGAAAAAAAAAATTTTTTTTTAAAGATTCCCCCAGACTTGCGGGGGAGTAACCGGGTGGTGCCATCTCCTGAGGGTTAAAGAGCCAGAGGTAGCCGGGCAAAGAGAAAGAACCTGGAGCAGAATGTTTCAGGTATCGGCAACTTCCCCAATAACAGCCCCGTGAATCCAAAATCCGTTCCCCACCGTTGCCCCCTAAAAGCTGCCTCCGTGAAGCAGTTCCACTGCTTGGCCCGGCAACCAACCAAGGAGATTCTTCTCACAAGAGGGAACCCTGGAGCACAGCCTCGGAGAAGGGGCACTGCAAAACCAAAAACACAGGAAGCTTCTGAACGTCCTAAAGCACCCACCCGGGAAAGGTCTGGGAGCGGCTCCACCCACGAGAGCCAACAACTTAGAGCAGAGAAGAGCGAGCAGGTCGACCGCCCGACAACCGGCTCCGCCCTCCTAGTGCTCAGACGGCGGACGCCCGGATGTGGATGCTTGTCGAGAGCGCGTCACGTGGGGACGCCCGGGGGGGCGGGGCTCTGCTACGTCGGTTGCTGCGCCGCCGTCTCACGTGACCGCCTCCAGCCAGCCAATGGGTGGACGCGGATGCGAATTTCGAATGCGGCCGCGGTAGTCGGCGGGTGACGGGAGACGGAACTGGCGCTGCGGGAAGCCGACGCACAATCCGCCGGACGCTTTCGCGGGGCCTCGGGATGTGAGGAGGGAGACCGCTGCTGCGGAAGCGGTGGCCAAGGTATCGTGGCGGAGGTACCAGGGGGAGGCGGGTCTCCTGGCCCTTTCCCGGCAGCGCGCCCACCCCCGCGCTGGCCTTCCCGAAGCGCCTCCGAGAACGAGGAGGCCGCGGGATTCTGACGTGGAGCAGAGCGTCCTGACCCCGCGCCTCTTCCCTCGGGGCCTCTGTCGTTCTGAGTGCGGGGCCCAAACACTGAGGCCGTGGAGTCGGGCCTCCCGGGTGTCTGTCTGCCGGGCCACCCCACCCACGCGTCCCGACCATCCAGTTTCCTCTTGTTGGATAAGCGGGGACCCGCGCCGCCCGCCTTGTAGCGTTGGGTGAACTGATGTGCAAACAAAGCATCTACCGTAGTTGAAAGCCGGGCTCAGCGAACGGCACACACGCTGGCAGCTGGTTTCCGAGCTGCCCCGCGCTGGTGCTCGGTCGGTGACCGCAGGGAGCCCCCGGCAGGGCGGTGACAGGATCGGACGGAGGCCCGATATTCCCGGTTCTTGGGAGCCAGAGCCCTTACCAGCACCGGGCGAGGCCGGCCTCCCGCGCCGGGACCAGCCCTGCGTCCTCTCCACGCCGCCTCGGTGCCGGCCGCGGCCCGCACGGGGAGTGAAACCTCCCAGCGGCGATTTTGTGTGTGTGTGGATTTTAAGTTGATTAAATAACAGGGTTTTTTTGCTTTTGCTTTTCAAGATAACACTTGGTTTTTAAGATACCTGAACGAAACTCACTTGATCTGTTACGTAATCTGTATGGCTTTCAAACATCTGCGGCTGGAACTTGGAAAACAGCCCACTTAACGTCCCTGCTTTAAGAACAGTTGTGCTTTCTCTACTGGGAACATCCCAGTCTATCTATGTTTAAGATAATGAGTAAGGCCTGGAGAAAAATGCTCAAGAAAATGTAAGTTTCCAGGAAGAGATTTGACTAGGAAGAGATGAAGGTAGCCTTTGTAGTGAAAGTTGTATACATGGATTGTTACAGGAAAATAATATTTTTTGCGATTTTAACATCTGCAAAAGTGCAATCTAAGGTACAAGATGCTCATGAAAAGTAGTTTGACATGCTTTAGTAGCAGAATACTGAAGCCTGATTTGCCACATTGAAAGATTTAAGTATACTTACGTATTAATGTACTCAATAGTATATTCCACTATCAGTGCATGTTTTGCTACTTTTAACTGTATTGTAAAACAATCATTATTTAAATGTCTGGTTTGGTATATTCATGATGTACTGGAAGTTTAGCAGGCCTGAATTTTAGAATAACTTTGAGAAAACTGACATGTTCCTGTGCCCCAGATTCTGCCGGTTCTAGCTCTGTCGTTGTTGTAATAGCCTATTACAATTGTATACAGTGCTGCACAGTTTATACCTCTGAAGATCACTTTGACTTTTCTGAGAGCATGTGCATATCTAAAGTAACACTGGGTTAAAAGTGCGTGGAAGACTGGGACGTAATCAAATAACCTAATCTGATAAGTAATATAGAGAAAAACTTGAAAACAAAGCCCAGATATATGATTGCCTCTGAACTAATGCTGTAAGCCTAATAAACACTAAAAGTTGGTCATAAGCACTGCCTGTAGGAAACAAATATCAAAATATAATATTAAGAATTTCCCATAGTACCTACTATATGGTAAGCTGCCAGTGAGTATTTCTTAAAGAATAAATAAGTGGCATATTTCAGTCTTTGGATTGGAAATCCACATTTATTAAACCTACCCTATAAAGTACTTGGGGAGGATAATATGTATACCAAAAATATTAACGAGATTTAAAAACTGCAGAATTTTGATTATTACCAGGTTAGCCATGTACTTTGAGTTTATTCTTCAGTTAATGTCTCTGTTTAATCATTCTTTATCAACAGACGGTTTTCAAGCTCTTTTTGTATTTGATGATGACATCTTTAGAAAAATGAAATATTTTTATTGTTTTAAATTCATAGGCAGAAGATGGCCAAGGAAAGAAACCTCAAAAAGTCCTTTCAAGACAGTCTTGAAGACATAAAGAAACGAATGAAAGAGAAAAGGAATAAAAACTTGGCAGAGCTTGGCAAACGAAAGTCTTTTATAGTTGCACCATGCCAAATAATCAGTAAGATTTTCATGTTGTCCTTTTGCGTCACTTTTTAAATTTATATTTAATAACTAATAATAAAAAACTTTATCCTCTTTTAGCCAATACTTCTACTCTGCTAAAAAACTACCAAGACAACAACAAAATGTTAGTTTTAGCTTTGGAAAATGAAAAATCCAAAGTGAGAGAAGCCCAAGACATAATCCTACAGCTGAGAAAAGAATGTTACTACCTCACATATCAGTTATATGCATTGAAAGAAAAACTTACTTCACAACAAACAGAAGAACCTGCTCAGGTATTTTCATTACAAAGGCTGAATTTCATAGGAAAAATAGTAAAGCTATGATTTAGTAGTTTAGATCAATTATGCTATTAATTGCTAATAACTGTTAATTGGTACTATAAATCTTAGCTCTTTATGTAGTTTTGCTACGTCCAGTGGGGTTTTATAAGAGCTACCTCAGTTGGGGTGTGGGAAGTATGTGCTTATAGAGAATCATTTTTACTTACTAGTTGGCTAAATAAAGAAGATTATACATTAATTCCCAAACAAGAAATATCTTGAACATTCTCCTGGCCACATTTTCTTTTTTAATCCTCACCTGAGGATATTTTTATCATCAGATGGAGTGGGAGGAAGGGAGAGGTGGAGAGAGAGAGCGCGCAACATTCATGTGAGAGAGACACATCGACTGGTTGCCTCCAGCATGACCCGACCAGGGCCGGGGACAAACCACAACCGAGGTATGTGCCCTTGACCAGAATCAAACCCACAACTCATTGGTCTGCAGGCCAACGCTCTAACTGCTGAGCCAAACTGGTCAGGACCCTGTCCACATTTTTAATCTTTCTGTTTATGTCCATGGCTATATAGAAAGGCCAGCCAAACTATAACAGACACGGAGAAAGCTTGGTTTTCTTTGTGTGTTATTACACATTAATCCTGAGAAGAGTAATGATGAGCCAATTTCTTCTTTCTTTTTCCCAGAAGCCACTGCCAGGGAAACTCATGGGGCAGAGAAAGAGAAAAGTAGTGTTGAGTGTCAGGTGTTAACAATTTACTTTCTTCCCTGGTGGCCATTTGTTTGCTGTGCCAGTGAAGACAGTTGTGTTAGTAGGAGACCAGAGAAGAAAGCCAGACCATAGTGATCAGGGGAGGGATATGGACCTGAGAAAGGAATTAAAGTCACCTCTCTGTTGACAGGAGTCAGTGAAAGAGTTCTTGCTTCCGTGCAGCTAAGGTGATTCCACATTTTTTCTATATGATATATAGAATGCATGTGTAGTATATTCATATCCAGTGTAGTAGAGAATTTTCTTTATAAAGATTAAATATGATTTCTTTACCTTTATGTAAGGATTAGATTATTTAATAAAATTTTCCTTCAGAATGTAATCTTTCCTAATTTTTTTCTTCTCCTTTTTTGGTTTCTGATGAACAGTTTTAAGCTATGCATTATAACATTAGCATACTATATGTGTGTCGCCTTTCAAAAAACAACTGAATTGAATTAGAATGATTTCTAAGGAATCGGACTGGCACGCCCATCTTCCTAATACAAGTCCACAAATCTGCCTATATCTATATTCATATTCTCCATCTTCCCTGTTGTTGCAGTGGCAGAAGTGTCGCAGCTCCCGTCAGAGTCCAAACTCTCTCCTTGTGCATCATTTCCCTTCTTCTCATCTCCACTAGGACTTTGCTCCTGAAAGTTTGCACTCTCTTCCAACATTTATCTCCCTCTCTGCTGAATCATTCTATCATACAAATGTGCCTTAGAATCAACTTCAGAGTAAAAGAAAATAAGTGAAACCTCTCCTGATCTCATCTCTATCTGCATATTTCTCTGTTCCCATTCACAGCAGAATTTTCCAAAGACAACAGAGCACTTAATGTCTTCACTTGTTCAGCCTCCATTTACTTTTATTTAAAAGTGATCTTAGCCATTTTTATTTATTTTTTTAGGGGAAGAGAAACATCGATTTGTTGTTCCACTGATTTATGCCATGGCTGGGTATCTCAGTTGGTTAGAGTGCCATCCCAGTACACCAGGGTTACATTTCAATACCTGGTCAGGACACATACAAGAAGCAACCAGTGAATGCTTCCATTCACTTTTTAGCCTCACCCAAGGATATTTTTCCATTGATTTTTAGATAGAATGGAAGAAAGAGGAGAGAGAAACATTGATATGAGAAAGACACTGATTGGTTGCCTCCTGCACAATGCCAACCAGGACTGGGGATCAAACCTACAACCCAGGTACGTGCCCTTAAGCAGGAATCACAGGCTAGTGCTCTAGCCACTGAGCTGGGGCTCCATTCATTTTTTAACTCAACTTTTATCTGGCCTTTATCCATGCCATTCTATTGTCACTATGTGTCAAGGTCACCAAAACCTCCATGTTGCCACATTCAGTGGTCATGTCTCTTTCTTTTTGACCTTGAAGTAATATACAACACAGGGATTACACTTTGCTAGAAATACTTTGATCATTTAGCTTTCTTACCATCACATTCTCCTAGTTTTCTTTCTACTTTTCTGACTCTTCCATGTCAGTCTCTTTTGCTGGCTTCTTTGAAATGTCAGTTGTCCTAGTCCCATCTCTGCCTACTTACTAGTAACTTCCAAATTTATAGCTCAAGACCTACACACACACAGCACAACTACTTGATATATCCAATTAAATATTTATAAAGGATCTCAAATATTTTGTACAAAACTAGTTCCCACCCACCAAAGATACTGTGTACTTCTACTTCCCTCCATAAGTCACCCATCTCAATAAAAACAGCCTTACCCATTTGTTCAACTCAAAACCTTCCTCACCTCTAGAGTCACAGAATTCCAGTCCTAGCTAATATGTCTGTTTCACTTACTACGATGATTTCCTAACTCCTTGGCCCATTTCAATCCATGTTTCACACAGTGGCCGGACTGATCTTTTTAAAAGTTAGATCATTTTACTTCCCTGCTTAATATTTAAGTGACCTCCCATCACACTTAGACTACAATCCAAGTTCATGGCTCTCAGAGCCCTATGTGATCTGGCCTCTGCAAGAGGCCAGATTTTTTACTGTTCTTAGTGACTTTCTCCAGCTACAACTGCCTTTCTTTTCTAAACACAGCAAGAGTTTTCCTACATCATGACTTTTCTATTTGCTGTTTCCACGGCTTTTTCTTCCCCCTGCTCTTTCAATGGCTCTTTTTCATTCTTCAGATTTCAGATGAAAGTCACCCTATCTAAAAGAGCCCCCCACCTCAATTACTGTCATTTCACCCTGAGTAAATCTTTGATAGCACTTAATACTATCTGAAATTATTTATATATCTGTCTTGTTTGTTTTTTAATTTTCTCTCCCCACACTAGAATGTAAGTTTTAAGAGAGTAAAACTAATTTTTTTTTTTAGCTGCTATAGACCTAATTCCTAGAACACTGCCTGGCACCATGATAGACTGTCAATAAATATTTATTTTTTAATAACTGATCTTTGTTATGAATATTTCAGTTTTACTAGTGTTTTCTTTCTTTTAATGCATTCACAGAACCATGAAGTAAGTTCCTCTGGAATGGACTCCAACAGTGACAGCAACTCCGGGGATTTATTTGTGAAGGATTTACCGTTAGTATCAAATTCATTATTATGCTTATTAATATCAAACGTGTAATTCTGTGATCTGGCTATGAAAGTAAATTGGCATCATATTAACTCATATTTTGAGTCTGATGTTCACTCTACTGAGAATATATTTAAGAAAATATAAAATGTTAAAACTCTTATTATATATAGCCAAACCAAATCATTCTTCCAGTTACTTTTTTTGATGTCTAAGAATATGATGCTTTTCTAGGATTTTTAAATCATTCCCTTCAATATTTTTCCTATACCAAGTTTTTGTTCTAAGAAGGAAGGATTGGTTATTCAAATGATGGTATTTTGATAGTACTACAAATAGTCTGTTTTAGAGAAGAAATACAATAAAACATTTAACACCACTGTCACATGTCTTGCTAAACCAATTTATTCCTAAATACAGTCAGATCCCGTATACCTTCTTGCCTTTCTCTTCGATCATGTGTACTTTATTTGTTTGCTTATGAATCATTGAGATATAATTACATACAGTAAAACACACAGATGATAATTATACAGCTCAATGAGTTTGACTAACATATAGTCAAACCAAAATCTCAATTAAGATATAGAGCATGGTTATCACTCCGGCCTGGGGTTTCTCAGTCTTAACACTACTAACATTTAGGCCAGATCACTCTTTGTTTAGAGAGCTGTCCTAAGCCTTATGGGGTATGTAGCAGCATCCTCGGCCTCTACTCACTAAATGCCAGTAGCATTCCTCTCTCCTAGTTGTGAGAACCGAAAATGTCTGCAGACATTGCCCATTATCCCCTAGGGGTGCATACTTGTCCTCAAGTAGGAACTACTGCCATAAGCCATTTCTTCATATCCCTTTTAAGCCTATGTCCCAGACCTCACAGAAGTAATTACTAATATGATTTGTGTCCCCATATTAATTTTAATAATTCTAAAATTGAACTTTAATATCTGACAAAATATGTAATAGCCAAAAAAGTAAGGTGAGGTAATTGAGTCTTTTTTTTTTTTTTAATCCTCACCCGAGAATATTTTTCCATTCATCTTCAGATCGAGTGGAAGGGAGGAAGGGAGAGAGAGAAACATCAATGTGAGAGAGACACATCGACTGGTTGCCTCCCACATGACCCCAACCAGGGCCAGGGACCAAACTGCAACCAAGGTACGTGCCCTTGACCAGAATCGAACCCACGATTCTTTGGTCCTTGGGCTGACGCTCTAACCACTGACCCAGACTAGCCAGGGCGGTACTTGAGTCTTTGTAAGATTTCTAAACTTTTTATTAGTTTGTTATCATAACTCTGTTGCCTAAACCTATATTTAAATTTTGATGTCCAGAAGTGACAATTCTCTACAGTAAATAAAGAATCAAGTTATAATTCAAATGAAACACCACTAATAGTGTTAGAGTGTAAAGAAAATTTCTCTTTCCATGCACCAAAGAGAGGGACAGAGTTTTTTCATTTGTTTGTTTTACGTGAACAATGTTTACTTCAGAGCAGTCAATAGTTAAACATCGTAAAAGCCACTACCAAAAATAAAAATATTACAGCTATTTATCAGCTAATGATAAAGCAGACTGCTAAAGAGTTGAATAATCAAACTACATTTCTTTAATATATTTTTTTAAGTCAATTCTGATTGGCTGTTTCTGCAGTTAATTGAAGTTAAGAGTTTTGGCATGCTTTAAGGAGGAACTATCCAATTTGATACGTTACTTATTCCAGTTCACAGTTGAATGTCAGTTGTAACAAATCAGCCTCCATGTAATCAGTGTAAATGTTTTATGGTTTCCTTTTATGTAGAACAGATGTACTGATTTAGAGTGGAATTATGAAATAATAGTAAAGAAAATTAAAAATTTTAATTTTAAGAAAACCTTACATTTATTTCTATTACATAATTGTTAATTGAATTTCTATTTTTTAATGGTATTTTCTAAGGCAAGATCCTCTTCAGGAAGCTCACCTTCCAGAACAAGGAGAATCATTCCAAACAGAAGGTAATTCAAGCGAAAATCTGAAAATGTGATCAAGGGCAAGATGAGGTCTTTGAGAACAAGTAACAATGTCTCTAATTTTCTTTTTTAACTTTTTAAATCTTCTCACCTGGTATTCTTCTGCTTAAAGCAAATCTGTTTATTTTACAGAGAATAATAAGTGTTTTAAAATACATCCATTTATTTTGCCAAATCTATAATTAGAAACCTTGCCTATAAATAACTGTGGCCACAATTTACTGAGCCCATTTGACATATGTTGTCTCACTTAACCCTCACAACAACCTTGCAATATAGGTACAGTCAGTCCCGTTTTATATAGACTCAAAGAAGTAAAGTATCTCATATAAGAAGTAGCCCAGATCATAAGAGTTAAGGTTTAAACTCAAAGCTGAACTCCAAAGCCATGCTCTTTCTACTTTTAAATCAGTGTGTTCCTAATATCAAATATCAGTCTTCTACCTAAGCTTTGAAGAAGGGAAAGCATTTGAAAATAAGCAACACCAAATTTCCACACTTTTCTTAAAAATACAGATATTTCCTACCTGAAAGGCTTTCCAGTTATCCCAATTTTTTCCATTTTTCAAACAACAGCTTAGTTCCCACTTTCTTGGTGTATTTTTCCTCCTTTGGAATATAAGATTCTTTTCCTCTTAATCCTATACACATAGATACATGTAAACTACTAGGTATTCTTTAAATGAGGGGCACATAAAACCCTAAGTTAGAATATTTTTGAAGGATATATAAAATTCTTCTAGAGGTCAGGTAGAAGCTATCATTTGATCATTGCCAAATAAATTGATGGTAATATGGGAACTACAGATGACTTTTCATTTATTCCATTTTTAACTTTGAATTCTAAGATTCTCATAATTAAAATTTCCATAAAGTAAAACTATTTGTCTCATTTATTTTTTAAATTCTCAGAGCAAGTACTTACTATTTCTCAAGACAGATTGGGATTTGATTTGGAGTCAAGTGAAGATATGTCTACTGATACTATCTTACCTAGAACTGTATCTCTCCGCCGCAATTTAAAGAGACATTTTAACAATCTATGCCAATTCAACACCTTGGATAATTCTGAAATCAGTCATATGTCAGAGCAATCTTTTGGACTGGAAACAGTTAGATTTGTAGATCCACTAGTACACATGCACATATCTGAAAATGTGGAACAAAATGTTTGTCAATGGAACAAGGATCAAATTAACTTATCACCAAAGCAGGTTCACCCAGGAAGATCTGCTAAAACAAAAGAAGACATTTTAGAGTATAAATCTGAGCAAACTAAAAATAAGCATAGAGATGCACAAGGAAGAAAAAGAGGAGAGAAGAGAAAAGCTAACAGGAGGAAAAAAGCAAAATTTGTATCTAAGTATAAAGGGAGCAAAAGTAAAAATAAAAAACCTGTTTCCAAAAAAATAGATGATTTTATCACTTACAATGATGCTTACAATTTTAATTCGGAAGAAGGTGTTCATCTCACTCCTTTCCGACAAAAAATGAGCAATGATTCCAAAAGAGAAGCAAACAGCAATGTATCTGAAGTGAGCAGCTGTGGATCAAGTAGTTCAGGAGATGATTCCGATGACCTGTATTTGCCCACTTGCAAATACAGTCCAAGTCTCACCAGCCAATCAGATAGGAGCCCAGTCACCAGGCCACGATCTAAAAGGGCACTAAGATGTAAGGATGAAAAAGAGATGGAGAGTTCTCAGTCAACAAAAACTCCTACCAGTAAGTGATCTACTTGTTTGCCTGCATTTTTAATGTTTATGATAAATGATCCCTCCTGGTGCTTATATACTATACTTACCATCTGTTTCTCTGGGGGAGGTTAGAGACTTGCCATCTGTCTCTTTGGGAGGAGTAACAGTCTGATTAAATAGTGGGGGACCAGGGGTGGAAATCACAGTTGTATTGCTCTGAACTGCTTTAAGCTAATTTAAATCCTCTTTAAGAACAAATACAAAGAGTGGGGGGGGGGGGGGTTATGAGTACAAGGAGGGTAAAGGGGGAAATAAATGGTGACCGAAGAAGACTTGACTTTGGGTGGTAAACAATACAATATTCAGATGATAGAATTGTACACTTGAAACCTGTGTAATTTTATTAACCATTGTCAGCCCAAGAAGTTCAGAAAAAATTTTCAAAAAAAAAACAGCAAATACGGTCAGCCCTCGGTTATCGTGGTTAATCAGTTCCAGACTCTACCTGCGAAGCAGGATTCTTTATTTATATACAGTCGTCCCTCGCCACTTTGCACTTCAACTTTCGCGGCTTCACTCTATCGCAATTTTTTCAAATATAGTATGTATATATATGTATAGTATTTGAAAAAACCGCAATAAGAGTGAAGCCATGAAAGTCGAAGCGTGAAATGGCGAGGGACGGCTGTACTACTTGTTATGGAAGAAGCATTTTTACTTTCTGTAAATGAAGCTTTCCAAGGCAAGAAAAAAACTTTTTTGTGGCGTTAGGTTGAGTTAAAATATCTTTTATACGCTCACCTGCAATAGCCCCTTAAAAATGAAATCAAACTTAAATCCAGTAATCTGTCATTTTAATGTCTTTGCTTTATATTCAATGTGACAGGAACCATGACTTTAAATATTATTTTTCTAGTTAGTGAAGGTGGCCTAACAAAACCAAAAAACTCTTTTCTCAATTGACAGGCTTAGTATTCTTTTGTAGGATATTTGTAAGACATCTAAAAACTGTGGCTTAGAAGATTTTGCTTTTGTTAGATCAAAAGTCAGAATGATTCAAAGGTTCAGGATACAACCTGCACCTGCCCACAAAGATTCTCATCTGGGAATTTTAGTTACTTTGGTAAAAATAACATATACAGTCAGGTTGTATTATTCTCAGATTTTTGTCATGCTATTTTATTTGATCCTAAGAACAACTCTGAAGTTCAGAGGTGTCATTGTGCTTGTTTTGTTTATTAGGAAACTAAAGCCTGAAAGAGTTAAATGACTTTCCAAGGCCAGCCACTTAGGTGGTGGTAATAGCATGCAAATATCTTTTCAAAAAATATGCTTTAATGAGTAAATCAAACAAAATTGGCAAAATGTTGGTAATTATTGAAGCTGGGTAACTGTGGGTTCATTATACTGTTGTCTCCACCTTTATGTATATTTGAGAATTTCTATGAGTTTTCTAAAAGGAAAAAAGTTCATTCTAAATAGTGTTACTCAAGGTGTGGTCCCTGGACCTTTAGCATCAGCATTAGCTGGAAATTTCATACAATTGCAGAATCTCAGGCTATACCTCATACTCTTGAATCAGAATCTGCATATTTTTCACAAGTTCCCTGGAGGTTTTGTGTGTACATTAAGCTTTCTAGAATATAACAACTGATCTGATGTTATTGCTTAACCATATTTTCCAAACTGAAAATGATCATAATTAGTATAGTACAATATGCTTATGTAGGGACAAAAAAGAATATTTGAAACCCAGATAACCCTGGACAACAGGGTTACCAAGTATAAAATCATCTTGCTGTGTTCTTAGACTATAGGAAGTCACTTAATAAGCTTTGGCAGTGAAAGAGATAGAGGCCTTAAAACAAAACAAAAAGCCAGGCTGGTATGGCTCAGTGGATTGAGCATCACCCCATGGACTGAGAGGTCCCAGTTGATTCTCGGCCAAGGCACACGCCCAGGCTGTGGGCTCGATCCCCAGTGAGGATCAATGTTTCTCTATCACATCGATGTTTCTATCTCTCCTTTGCTTTAAAAAATTAATAACATATTTTTAAAAATAAAAAAGAGGTAGAGGCCTTGATGATTCTAAAAAGCAAGGTGTGACTAAAATGAAACTGCATAGTTTAAATTAATTCATTACACCCAAGCTATCCTAGATGACTTAATTTTTTAATTTTCAAGAATTTTAACTTTTAGTAAACTATGGTATCAGTTCTTCATATCTACAATAGTGAACATTTCAATGTCATCTAGGATGAAAAACTGTTGAACAGGTTAAAAAATATGAAATGCTGGGTTTTGTGTACATTTAGGATATGTAATTGCATACAATTTTATTTACTGTGGGTTGTTTGTTTTTTTGACCCATATTCAATAAAAGTTGTTTTTGTAGGTGAAGTACCTGAAACATACCAGTCACCTCATTTTAGCCTGAAGGATATCACCAATGTACCCTTGTATACTGAAGTGAAAATGAAAAAACTTTCTCTTTCTCCAAAAGAGAAGGAAGAAAGCCCACCAGTGTCTCTGCCTAAGCGTAGGTGCACAGTCAGTGTGAACTATAAGGAACCCACACTCGCTTCGTAAGTATTTAATTTGTGGGAATTCAGTTTTAATGATACATTTTGGGGGAGTAAGGTTATGGAGCTTTGTTCAGGGGTGAGTCTTATTTGAAATATAAAATTGTGATAAAAAAACTAAGGCAGGAATATTAACACTGGCATATTTTATAATAACTTTATCCTGAAGAGGAAGTTAATATTGGGATGCTAAAGAGCACTTTTTACCTTTATAGGAAACTAAGAAGAGGGGACCCTTTTACAGATTTGTGTTTCTTGAATTCGCCTGTTTTCAAGCAAAGAAAGGATTCCAGACGCAGTTCTAAAAAAAAAAGTATGAAGTAACTACAATGAAGCATTGGTTGGATGTGGTTTAAATTCATCCTACACCCCCTTCTATTGCTCCAAGAGAGAACTGTAAGCACACAAGTGGGTTGAATTATTGCCATAGAATATTCTCTTGACAAGACTCTAGAGCAAGAACATTTCTTAAAAACTACACATCAAATGTGATCTTTTTTTTTAAACCTTTAATAGATTTGGTTTATTTTTTTCTTTTAAATATAAATAACTAGACTTAAGCACTATTTATAGTTAGATTTCTTATACTGCCTAAAACCCTTAATTTTAGTCAAAATGTATCTTATACCAACATTTTTGGAATTAATAATGATTATTCAAATAAGATGTTTTAATTATAAGCTTCTGGCCCTTTTATTTTTCCTTTTAGTGGGGAATACTAGAATGATTTTTGAAAACAGGCTGAAGATCTTTTGAAACTCCTTATATAATATTTGAATAAATTCTTGACATTCACAGTAGGGTATACCCTATTGTTTGTGTCTCCTTTATACCATTGTTGTATTTAGTTTTTCAGATAAAATGTGTATGAGCTCATGACTAGAAAATTAATGGTTGCTTAGGCTGAGGGACTAGGTAAGTAACTAACTCTGAACCCCAAGCTAAGCTCTGGGTGTGTATTATTCAAAGTGATACCTCAACAAAAATCAAGAATTATTATGTCATGGACTTTCAGGATAGTTAGTTACTTAGTCAAAAACTCTAATGTGTGAATGTCAAAGATTTTTTTTTTGATCAGCCAATGAGAGAGTATTAGTTCAGTTCTGAAAGTTTGAAGCCACTGCTTATATATACCTCTTTAAACTTTAAAGCACTGTAGGTTGTCCATTTTTAAAGGCAATAAAATTTGCATAATATAGTGCTTGTGTTTTTCTTCTGTTCTTTAAATAACAAAGAGTGCATATCTGGACCACCATACTGTCTAGCCTTCACTGTTCTCATCATTCTTGGACATTTCTTTCCCCACTTTGGTTTTCGCTGTAATCATTGCCAAGAAACTCTTAGCTCCCCCACCATTCTCTCAAACTAACACTCGTCTCAACTTTTCATTGTGGAATCTCCAGGTCCCATGATCAACAAATTCTATTTTACTAGGGGACTCTTGCAATCCTGACAAGTTTCTTGACTATATCTCCTTACCTTTCTGCATTCTGTATCAGTCACACCCCAAATCCTTTTCATCAGCCAAAATTTTTTTATTCCTGACCTCCAAAGCTATGTACTTTTCTCTACTTATAAATTGATGTCCCTGTTCTCAAATATCAGTCCTCACTGATTCATATGGCCTACTCTCCCATCACAATCTCTTTTTTTACACTTTATTTGTTCAACCACTCTCCTTACCCTGTTCTTTAAATTCAGAAAAACTCTTGAATGGCTACCTTAATTAAGATTAAATCCAATTTAAAATTTAATTTTTCATTCACAGTAGCCACATTTCAAATACCCAATAGCCACATGACTAGTGATTACCATATTGGGGACAGTGCAAATAGAGAACATTTCCATCACCACAGAAAATTCTTTTGGACAATGCTGCTCTGGGCTAGCCATGAGCAAACTACAGCCTTTGGGCCAAATACAGTCTTCTGCCTGCTTTTCTATGAGCTAGCTGCAAGCTAAAAAATCAATGTTTAAGAACTTTTATGTTTTTAAATGGTTGGGGGGGGGAATCAAATCCTGACTATCAATTTTGGTGATAAAACACTAGATTTGAACCCCAAATAAGTACTTATATAAAGTTTCATTTCACCTTTTTAGCCTGCAACCTAAAATATTTATTCTCCAGACTTTTTACAGAGAAAGTTTGCAAACTCCTGCCCCAGACATTTACTTCATTTTGATGGATCTTTCTCTGTTGACATTTTCTGATGTAGCTGTGATCCTTCCCATCTCTGTCTTCAAAATCATAATTCTAAATTTGGTATTTCTGTTCTTTTAATATTTGTGTATTCTTGCTGTAGTGTTTATTCTTAGACTGTTAAGAATTGTTTTGTATGTTAACATTTTACATGAATGTTATATTGTATATCTCTTGTTGTAACTGACTTGTAACTCAACATTGTTTTTGAGATTTATCGATGTTCCTAAATGTAGATTATTTCCATTGTACAGTATTTTGTTATATAAATAAATCAGACATTCTTCTTTTGAGAGAGAATTTGCTTCCACTTTTTCATTACTACAAATTATTGCTGCAGTGAATGTTTTACATCCTTATACATATGTATATTTCCATGGAGTTGATACTAGAAGTGGCTCTGCGCTCTGAAGTGCTTGTTTGTACCCATCCTCCTGACAAGGAGTATATCACTCTCCTAATAGCATTTTAAGTTTCCAGTTTCCCCACCACTGTCATTTGGTATTACTGAACATTAAAAAATTAGCCAACCCAATGAGTGTGAAATGGTTTTTGTTTTAATTACATAAAAGATTTTATTTTTACTGAGTTAATTACTTGTGAGAATTCACATGTTTATTGGTCATTCTTATTCTATGAATTGCTGTATATCTTTTGCCCACTTTTCCACTAGAACATCTTTTTCTAGTATAGGTTCTTTATGTAGTCTAGATACTATTCCTTGTCTTTATTTACATGGGTTATAGCTATTTCCTCAGTTACTGGTTTATAATTTTTTTTTCTGGACTTAGATTAAGGGTAATAAAACTAGCCTCATAAAATGTTTTCTGAAAAACACATCTGTTTTCTAAGTACTTTTTCCTTAAATGTTCAACAGACTAGTGAAGCCATCTGTGCCTTGAGTTTGAAAAAACAGTTTTTCATTATGAATTTACTTTATTTGATAAGGGATGTTTAGGTTTTCTATTTCTTTAGTCCGTTTTGCTGATTTGTGTTACACAAGGTATTAATTCATTCCATCTAAGTTAACAAATGAGTTGGCATGATGTTGTTTAAAATATTCCCTTATCCACCCGGCCGGTGTGGCTCAATGGTTGGGTGTCGACGCATGCACCAGGTCACCGGTTCGGTTCCCAATCCAGGCACATGCCCAGGTTGTGGGCCAGGTCCCCAGTGTGGGGCATGCAGGAGGCAGCCAGTCGATGTTCTCTCTCCTTGATGTTTCTCTCCCTCTCCCTTCCTCTCTAATATCAAAGAAAAAAGTTTTTTTAAAATAAATATCCCCTTATCCTTTTAATATTTTGCATGTAAGAGCGCTAGTTATATCCTCTCTTTCATTCCTGATATTGGTAGTTACTGTTTTCTCTTTTTTCAAGATCAGTCTAGCTAGAAGTTTATTTTAAAGAACTGGTAATTTCACTGATTTATCTTTTTGTTCATTTTTTTTATTTCATTGATTTGTACTCCTTCATATTTTTCTATTTGCTTAATTTGCTTTTTTCCTACCTTCTTAAGGTAGGCTGATTTGAGAGCTCCCTCATGTTAATGAGTGTTTTCAATGCTATAATTTTTCCTTTAAGCACTGTATTGGCTGCACCCTTCAAATGTTGACATGTTGTGTTTTCACTTTCATTTTGGATAGCTTCTATTGTCATATCTTCAAGTTTGTTTTCTTCTGCTGTGTCAAATCTTGTATTGATCCCATCCAGGGAATTTTTCACCTCTGGAAACTATATTTGGCTCTCTATTTGTATATGAGGTGGACAAAAGTAGGCTTGGAGTTGTAATACAAATAGGTAATACAATAAGTAATACAAGAATAAACTCTGTTTTACATACTTACAACTATAAACCTACTTTTGCCCCACCCTGTATATCTTCCATTTTTCTCCACATTGTATTCATGCCTTTTTTTCTTAATCCTCACCCGAGGACATTTTTGCATTTATCTTCAGATAGAGCGGGAGGGAGAAAGAGAGAGACACATCAACTGGTTGCCACCCACACAACCCCAACCAGGGCCGGGGCAAACTGCAAGGTACATACATGCCCTTAGTGGGAACCAAACCCAGGACTCTGGTCCGTGGACCAATGCTCTAACTGCTGAGCCAAACCAGCCAGGGTGTACTCATATCTTTTTATATCCTTGAACACAGTTATGTTTATAAACGCTGTTTTAATATCCTTGTCTGCTAATTCCATTTTCTCTTTGGTATCTGAATCAGTTTTTATTGGTCAGTTTTTCTTTTAACTATGTATCTCCTGCTTTTCGTATATTTTATTATTTTTTCTTTATTGATTTTTTAGAGAGAGGGAGAGAGAAACATCAATGAGAGAGAATATCGATTGGCCGCCTCCAGCATGCCCCCACTGGGGATTGGGCCCACAACCTGGGCATGTGCCCTGACTGGGAATCAAACCAGCAACCTCTCTTTGTGAATGAGTTGACGCTCAACCACTGAGCCACACTGGCCGGGCTTATAATTTTTTATTGAATACTGTACATTTGGAATTAATATTTTTATATTAATATAAAATATTAATATTTTTATAATATTTGGTTATATTCCTTTAAAGAATTTTGAACTTTGTTTTGTTGGGCAATGAAGTTACTTAGAAATCAGCTTTAAGGCTTGGTTTTAGGCTTCGGTGGCAGGTCTAGTGTCTAGTGTAGCTTTCACTCTAGGGCTCCGTTAGCCCCAGTACTACATGACGTATCTCAGGCCTCCACTGAGTGTGCCATGTATCTAACAAGGTTTGTCTGCTCTGGCTGCTGGGTGCATAAATGATTCCTGGCCTGTGTAAGCAATGAGAGTTGTTTGGCTTCCCTATAATTATTCTTTACCGCACAGCTCTTCTTTCCTACATATGTGCAGGTTAGTCCCTGAGTCTTCGTTGAATGCTGGAGCTCTTCCTCTGCATAGCTCCTTCCTCTCCAATACCCTGCTGGCAAATTCTAGCTTCCTCAGAACTTCATCCTCTATCATCTCAACCAGTGGTAGCACTGGACTGTTTGGATTCCCCCTTTGTCACAATTCCGAAACTGCCATGGGAAGAAACATGGGATGAACATAGGGCTGTTTATGTTCCTCCTCTCTGGGATCATAGCCCTGTACCACCTCTCATCCAATTTCTG